TTTTTTAATTTGCTTTTGCTTTTCCTTCCTTACAGTGATAATGTCTCTGCAGTACGACGCCAAAGCTGATCTCTGGTCGATCGCCACCATCATCTACCAGTGTCTGACAGGAGCGGCACCCTTCAAGGCGAACACACCGCAAGAGCTGAAGCTATACTACGAACAGAGCCCCAATCTGGCACCACTGTAAGTGTCTCAGCAGTTTGCGAACACTGTTTTGCTGTCTGTGCACCTTCAGTAGTGATTGTTGAGGTTAACCAATTTGAGCAAGTCAGCAAGTAATGGGTTGCAGAGTGGCAACAGCAACAGATGGTGGTGGTAGTGTTTGCTTGGTCTTGTGATTCCAGTGTGACTTCACCACCACTACCACCACCATCGCCGCATGAGCTGCCCACTGAAGCATGTGTGCCTTATGCCGCTGGTGATTTGTGGCTGTTATCGCCTGAGTGCGTAAAGTGCCAACTGGATGCGTACTCTGGCCGAAGATGCCATCGACTGCTTGCCTGTGAATGGTATCGGCAGTTGGTTTGTTGTCGTTCGTTGCTGCCGATATCATGTCGGTGTATTATTTTAGGTGTCATCAACTACGGCAGACGGCTGGCGTTGGCTTGGCATTCGGTGTCAACACCAATCACAGCACACACTTGCTAGCTGAGTAGCTCTCCCGAAATAGATACACACTCGCTGCAGGCCATTTCTTGTTCTCTCGGTGGCACCAAAACAGACAGCCCTTCTATTTGTTTCTTCTGCCTAGTATCGACTTGTTGCTAACCACTGCGCTTCCTCACTCCTTTTTAAACCAGGATTCCCAAAAGCACTTCGCCCGAGCTGACGGACCTCTTGACGCGCCTGCTGCGACGTAACGCCAAAGACCGCATGGACTTTGACGATTTCTTCAGTCACCCGTTTATCCTCTCGACGAGCATCTCTTCCTCCCCCTCCTCCTCCTCCGCCGCCTCTTCAAGCACTTGCCACTCTTGTGATAGAGCACCGTCTACTTCACCGTCTGCTTCGTCTGCTTCTGCACTCCAGCAGCCTCAGCTTTGCTCGCCAGTGGCCAGTCCGGTTGGGAGTTCGGCTTTGCCTCGACCTTCGTCGATCACCTCGGGAGGAGAGAAGTACAACTTGCGTGCAGAGGCTGCTTCCAGCAGGCGCCAGCACCCGCATGCACGGGTGGCGCGAATAAAGGAAGAGGATGCCGCCAATGCGGAGAACATTAGGCAGCAGCAGCAGCAGCCGTCGTCGCCGCGTTCAAGTCAGCCGACTGCTGCCGCACTTGGCCAGAGTCGGCCAAAGTCGGGCGACGTTCCCTCAAGTCATCATCATCGATCGGTGAAGCCAGGGGATCGATATGCTGAGAGCAAGGCCTCCGCCGGAGGTTCGGGCGAGTCCTCTGGCTCTAGCGGTGGCTCTTCTACTGGCGGGGACACCTTTGAGGACTTTGTGATGATCAACGAGGACGTCGTGTCGACGATCACTGCCACCGCCGGCGGTGCTGCCGTTCAGCCCTCTAGTCTTCCGCAGCGAATCATCCGACAGGCCTTGCGTCCCCTGGGCAACTACATGCCCGAGCCGCTTCCGGTGCCCACGCAGCGTGCTGCCTACGAGGCCATTCAGCGCAGCAGTGGATCGAACACCAGCAGCATTGGCGTCATCCAGGAGAGTGCTGGCTCCTCCTCGGTGGCCATGCTCACCAGTCCGCCGGCGACGCCGCCCTCAAAGGCTCGATTCGGTGGCAGTCGACGCGCGGGCGCAGGCGGCAGCCAGAACCAACCGCCGCCGCAGCAGCAACCTCAGGAGCCGTCCTCTTCGGGTACAATGAACCTGAAACGTCACGACTCGTGCAGCTCCATTGGCAGCGCCGGATCTGCCTGCTCACGAGGCTCCCGCACAAACATGCTCCTCACCGATGTCAGCAACATGTCTCCGCCGTCAATGAACTTTGTGCTGGGCAGTAGTGGTAGTCCGACGGCTGCCGGTGGCATTGTCTCCTCCTCCAACATCGCCTCCATGAATCGCTCTCGCCGCCTCAGTGTTCCCATGAGCCCTGGTCCGTCGATTTCACCTAGTTCTTTTTTCAATTGGTAAGCACAGTGCAATTTAACTGTTGCCAAAAGGTGTGCGGAATACTAATCGACTTTCTTTTCTATGTGTTTCAAACAGTCAATCGGGTATTCCCTATAACACTGCGCCCTGCTGCGGCCACAGCTACGGCCGCTCACCAGGAGCAGAGCACGTGGTCAGCCACGGACAGCATCAGCATCAACAACATCAACATCAGCAGCAGCAACAGTCGCAGCACCCACCGTCACCATCGAACCCTTCGCCGCTTAGTCAAATGCTGCGTCATAGCAGAACCGATCCGTCTCTCAGCTCTCATCTGACCTACTTTTTGCCCTCAAGTGAAGGCGCCCTAAGGTCTCACTTTGGCTCCAGCCGAACTGTCGATCAGATGAGCGCTGCCCACCAGCATCAGCAGCAGCAACAGTTTTCCGGGCAGCAGTACCGAATGTCGATGCCTTCTGGCGGAGGAGGAGCTGCTGCTGATGGCGGTGGTGGCAACAACGGCCGACTAGTGCACCGACACCACTTTCCCAACTCACCTGCCGCCCATCCGTACTTTCAGCAGATGCAGACGCACGTCTTTTCGTGCTGCGCTCCGGGGCAGCATGCAGCCGTTCCCAGCGGCAGTCAGATTGTCTCTCCATCGTCGCCGACTTGGTCGGCTCGCAACTTTCACCATCCCTATGGCGGTGGCCCGAGTGAGCAGCAGAACACCATCACCTTTGAGCCTCCCGGTGAGCTGTCAGAGGAGACGCTTCTCGACAAGGGCCACAATGAGACACTGGCCAAATTGAACTTTGTTCTGGCACTGGTGGACTCGATCTTTGAGTACATCAACAGTATTTCCAGTCCAATGGCGGTGCTCAGTGAGTCCATTGCAAGTGATGTAAGTGATGCTATTTTCGAGATGTGGGATGCTTACCATTTTCTAACATTTTTTTGCTGCAAACAGATGGTCAGCGAGGAGAAGATTGACAAGGTGCGTTTTGTGCTCTACCTCCGCTGCCTGCAATTGCTCACCTCGGCGCTGAAGCTGTCTCAGAAGGAAATCAACAGCGGTCGTTTGTGGACGTCTAATAGTGTTCGATCAGGTTAGTGGTGGTTTTATACATTTGCTTGTACGATTTGTAGTAACAACTGATTTGTTTTTTGTTTGCACAGTTGTAAAGACAATGAGAGACAAGTACCGTAAGTGTTTGGACTTCTGTAAGGATCTCAACCGACCAAACATCATCAAGTCACTGGACAACATATCGGCGGACAAACTACTTTACGAGTACGCCATTAAGATGTGCCAGTCGGGCGCTATTGAGGAGATTGTCGGAGTTCGTGAGGAGGTTAGTGCTTTTAGAACTTGTGTTTGAGGCAATCACCAACCATTTTCATTCATTTTGCAGAGTTTCAAGCGCTACCAGACGGCGCAGATTTTGCTTCACAGTCTGTCGCAGCAGGCCATCAACGAAGAGGACCGTAATCTGCTGAACCAGTATCGCGAAGCAGTAGAGAAACGAATGTTTTTTCTGCAGAACCAAGGCGTACCTATACTGTTGTACAATCAAAATTGAATCAGCTTTGTGTGATTTACAATGCATCAAGTACCCCTCCCTACGGACTGGCTCTATCTTCACACTTTAGTTCTCCTACTACTTCAGCCACCTATTCTGATTCTGTACTTTCTCTACCCATTCTCTACTACTGCTACTACTGCTACATCAGCTACTCCCACAGACACACACACACACTTTCTGACCTGATCCATAAGACTACTTCTGGACACCTTTTTGGACCAAATGTGTGACACCCCTTATCTCTGTCGCTTGGTCACACATTCTCTCACGCTTCTTACCGGCTTCACACGGTTGCATACATCCTCAGTTGCGACTTGCAAGTTTACTTATGCTTGCTGCTGAACTCCCATTCTGTATTTCGATTGTATCAATTCTTTCACCACCTACTGTTTAATAACCTCCTTTGAAAATAAACAAAAATAGTCATTTTCAGTGATAAAAGAAAAATTCAAAGTCGTCTAATTTTACTGTTTGGTTCTGACACTAGGTGTCATTAGATGTGTTGTTTATTTCAAACAGTCATATTCACATTCTATCGATATTTTTGTTATATGAATGTTTTAGAAAATCTGTTTTAGAACTTGTTCAAGCATTCCTTTTCTTTTACTTGCTTTGCACAAGCTTGCATCAAGCTTTTGGGAAGCCTTACCATGACTGTTCCATAATCAAATCACCCATTTTTGAAATCCTGACGTACGTTTGATCACGTACTCTAGGTGAGTATAGAAACTGGTAGTGACAATTAGAAATAGGACACCGTATGTTTATTATTATTATTTGCAGGAACAGCAAGATCTGTGATTACCGACAGAAGTAAATGAGTTCATCAAAGCCATTGCGGTGAGTAATTATCACTTTTCCTTTTTGGTTGTTGTTGCACTTCTCTTCTCGTCAGCAGTGGGCAGCCACCATTTGTCTGCGATCATGATGGCGCAGTACATAAATCATTACCGACTCCCTTTCCGATACCAGACTTCGGTGAATCCTAGCTCTTCTCTTGATATCAGCCAACTAATTTGCGTCCCTGTTAATTAACAACCTGTCTCTCGTTGGCCGCTCGATTGTTTCCTTAGTTTATTAATGTACTTGGAACAATTAGAGAACACCAATTCTCTGCTCTTGTCTGTTCATGTCTCAATTTAAGCCAGTAATCATCTCGGTGCACCTTTTTTTATTTTCCCGGTTCGTCCTCTTTAGGTTTAGATGAATCCACAACTTTCTTCCCTCTGTTTCTCAGTGATAGTCACTGCCGACCCCGTCATTACGGTGATCCACGGTGAACTGGTTTTCCGGCTGCAGCCATGCACGCCCCGTCATGGCCCAGAGCTAATTACAACACTGGTGGTATGTTTTGCCAGCTCAATTAGGAGATACCAATTGGCAATTGCCCAAATGGCTTATTTAGTAGACTTGCTGTCCTCCCCCTCTTGGCCAGCACACAGGCTTTCGATTAGGAGGCGAGTACATTCTGGAGCAGAGCACTTTCACTGCAGAGCAGCACTGGCACTGTGCAGTGTCTGTTCCAATTGGCACGAACACAAGCTCGTCGATTTGCAATTGACGTGTACCGCCACGCAGGGCAATTGTCTCGTTCTCGTCGGTGCACTCATTTACATATCTCTAGTGATGTAGTGAACGCCTCCTGCGTCTGTATGCTCTCGNCAATTGACGTGTACCGCCACGCAGGGCAGTTGTCTCGTTCTCGTCGGTGCACTCATTTACATATCTCTAGTGATGTAGTGAACGCCTCCTGCGTCTGTCTGCTCTCGCTCTGTCCACTTCTATTCAGCAAATTGACTCATTCCGAGTGAGTGGCAATTTACTGCCGGCTGAACTGTACTCGCTGGAGATTAGTACTGGTTCTGTACCTAGGAATTAGCCCATTTTGTCGCCTACCACCAGATGAACGTTGGAGCACGGTGGACACTGGCACCAACTCGGCAAAGCAGCAAAATGCAAAAGCAGCACTTCTTTGTCTGCTAATTAAGAGACAGCCAACCAACTGTCTCTTTTACAGTGTCGCTGGAACAATCGACACTACTGCCGCTGCTGCTGCAGATGATGATAATGATGATGATGATTCTTCAACTTGCACCGCACTGCTTTCTGGTTGCAGTGGTTAATGCGGCAGACAGTGGCGAATTTGCATTTGACAATCGATACATCATAGTGGCCATTGTTAGGCCGTCCTGCCGTCTAGTTATTATTAATAATGCTGGCTGCTCAATTCAGAGGACGAGCACACTCGTTCACTCGCTCAATCGTTCAGATCTATTCATTTGTCGGCTCATTCCAGCACCGCCAACGCTGCTGAATCCTCGCCGCTTTTCCGCCGACGCTTGAAGGGTCCTCCGAACTGTTCACTCTGTGCTGCTCATTCTGGTGCAGAAAGACAGAATGAGGGGGAGCGAGGAGAAAGCAGGGAGAGAGGATGCCAAATGACAAATGACTGATCCTCTATCTTTTCGCCAGTTATTAAGTCATTGAGAGAGAAAGGGAGAGAGGGAACAAGGGAAGAGCAGAAGCAGGAGCATCGTGGTGATTAATAGTGATGACCATGGCGCATCGATGTAAGCGGCGCCCATTATGTGCTCATCATTTTGTCACAACCCTGGCAAGGGCGATTTTTCATTCTCACATGCCACTGTACTGTGCTCCCTTTTAGCTGTCTCGTTTCCGAGTTGCCGTTTGTTCTCCCGTTGTCAGCTCGCTGTCTGTTGTTGTTCCGCCTGTTCATTCTCTCAATTGGTTCCATCTTTCTCTTTTTCTCTTGTTCCTCGATCGGTGATGCCGATAAAAGTGGACAGTGTTGTGTCAGTCTGCAGTACAGTGCTGATGGCGAGAATAATGTCTGTCTGCGTTCAGTGGAGGTTTAAAAGGGAGGGAGTACTACCACCGCCACCACCACCACCACCACCACTACTACTAGACTGCTAAAGCAAACAAAACGTTTGCCAGTTCACGAGCACTTGTCAGTGCTGCTGATGATGGTGATGGTGGCGGCGGTGGTGGCAATGTCAGCGACCAGTGACCAGGGACCATTAATAACACTCGCAGGCAGCACAAAGTGGCCACTGCCGATTGGACTAATTTGAGCTCAAATTGAGTTAAGCACACAGACGACCATCGGACAAGTGAGTGTGTCCCCGCACAGAGGACCGAGAAAAGAAGAGGAGGAAGAGAAGGAGAGGGACAAGGACGCCGGCAAACTGATAAATGGTGACATCATTAATTTCTCGACTTTCCGCTTGGTGAGCGATTCAGAGAAAGAAGAACGGAGAACCAACTGCTTGGAAGGGCTCTGAAAACTGTTTTGACGTTGGCGGCCTTGTACAGCAGAGGAGAAATCCATCTGCAACTGCGTGTCATCGGTCCATTTGTAATAATTTGCTGTTGGAAGCCAGCGTCTGTCTATCTGTCTATCTATCTGTCTGTTTGTTTGTCTGTTTGTGTAATGTTGTCCAATCAAAATGTACGCCAATTGGCTGCTGCTGTCGGTGCGGTAATCAAAGCAAATCGGGCAGTGTGTTTTCTGTGTCATGGTGCACTTCTTCTTCTTTTCCTTCCTCCTTCTTCACTGACTGTCTCTCATTTGTCTTACTTACTGCCTGGCTGCGCCGATAGCTTGATTAATCTTTATTTGTCATCTTCTCTCATTAGCTGCCGACACTCTCAGCAGCTAATGAATGAATGAATGAAACAGACGCGGACTACTACTTTTGCCAGAAGAAGGCTAAACACAAAACACACATACCATTTGTGGACATGTGTCGACGCTTTAAATTGTGTCCTCTCTCCTGTCTTTTCCCTCTGCTGTACCGATTTGTTCTACTTTGCCTACCAAAAACGACGCCGACTGGCACTGGTTGTCACCTAACACGCTAATGTCGATCGATTGTGGCCAAGTGGTGTGTGTGTACGTGTGCTCTTGTTGCTGTTGCCGCTGCTTCTAAATGCTCTCTCAATGTCTCGCCGTTGAAGAATGACTGCAGCGCCGGGGGAAGAGAGGTGTCACAAGCAAGCAAGCAGGTGGATTAGGTGGCAGAAGCGACAGGCAATTTACCACTGCCGACGACAGTCGTGGTCGAGCTCCTGTGCTCCTTTCTTTACTTGAGCATGATATATTCGCTCCTTCTTCAGTACACACAGATGAATCGAATCGGCAGTTGCACTTGAAACTGTTTATGGACTGCCAAGTGGCAATTTGTCATCATTAACCAAGTGTCGGTGTGTGTGCTGCTGCTCTCCTTTTACTGCCTGTGTAATGTAATTCATTTGCTTCGACGGGCATGGCTTAGTGGCGACGGTGGTAAGGATGATGGCAGGCCGATGAAGGTGCCAGTGGTGGTGAATCAGCGCCCACCTCTTTGGCTGGGATTCTCTGCCTCTTTCGGGCAGTCTTGGCAAGAATCCGTGCACATTCGAGGACAGGCTCTGCAATCTCTTGCTCGTCAATAATTGATGAAGATAAAGGCAAAGATGCGTGTAATGGGTCCCAGACAGAGGAAGACGAGCATAATCGATGGCCAAAGTGAAGCGAGTGAGCGTCCGCCAGTGTCAGCGTTACTGTGGGTTTTGCTGCTGTTGTTGCTGCTGCCGCTGCACGAAGAAGATTGATCGTCTGCTGGAGAGGATAATTTGCTTAAAATCGCATTTGTCTTCTTCTATCTTTCGCCCATTTGGGCTGCAGGGCCGTGCTCTCTTTCCCTTGCTCTTGCACTCTTCTCCCTTTTCTTCTTTCTATCTCTCTTTTTCTTCTTTTTCTGATGTGTTGTTCCTCATTCGTTCATCGTCAGCGTCCTTTGCTCGACAGCAACTGAGCAACGAGCACACACGAGCAATCAAAACAATTGAAATTGATGACTTGACAGGACAATTAATTGAACTAATTCCGAGCGAAGGAAGGCAAGCAAGCAGGCAATCACATTGTCTCCGACTATTGACCACATGTCCAATTCTCAGCGTGATTGATGATCTAAGCAACAGCAGTAGTGACG